TTCTCATCTGAATATTATAGCTGCTTTGTAAATTTTACATCCTCAACATTTATGATTTATGGGGAAGTTTAAGTTATTTTAGATTTGATCATCATGTTGTTGTTACCTACCAGGGATCTATTTTCATGGTTTCCCTACAACCTGCCAAGTCAGTTGAATTACAGCCGAAAAGGTGTGCCCATCGTTGATGTAAATTGTTTGGGAAGAAAACTGGTGGTGAGATAAATGGAATGGAAAATGCCATATTTCTGAAGGAAGGGCTTTTGAAACTCAGAGCCATCATGAGCCTGCTTTAAGCAACAGGCAGAGATGAAAGGAACGCTATAAAATACTCTTGAGAGATGTTTGTTTTCATTCTCTTTTCCTGTTCCGTGGGCTGTTTGGGTTCTTCAAATGAGTGTCTATAGACATAGTAAACAGCTCCAGGTGAGGTCTGTGGTAAGGGCTCTCTTGTCCGGTTACGGTTCAATGGCTGACTCGCTCATAAATCTAACCTGAAAAATATTATGCTGCTGTGACATTTTCCTAGGTCACTGAGAGGGATCTGTGTTGTTTTCTAATCTGTTTCCTCAGCCCACTTCGACAGTGTCAATGGACACAGTGAACTTGTTATTGAAAAGGTGTCAACGGAGGACTCAGGCACTTACGTGTGTACAGCGGAGAACAGCGTTGGCTTTGTGAAAGCGATTGGGTTTGTGTATGTGAAAGGTAGGTAAAAGTGTTCTGTGGTCCCTTTGTCATTTATTCATAAGGAAAGTTTGTTTCCTCGCTATGAAGTAACACAACGTGACTGCAGTTAGGGAGGTGCTGGTAGAGAGTTGCTGGGGAGATGGTCCTGTGGGTAGGGTGCTTATGCTTCAAGCATTAGAATGCGAGTTTGGATACCCAGAATCCATGTAAAACCCAAGCAGATGTGTCAGCCACGTACAAACCCAGCACTCAGGAGACAGACAAGAGATCAGGAGGAAAGCTGGCTAGATAGTCTAGCTGGGATTGGTGAGTTCCAGGTTAAGAAGGAGCTTCTACCTCAATAAATAAAGTGGAGAGTGATTGAGGAAGACCCATAGTGTCAAATTTGGGCTACACACACACACACACACACACACACACACACACACACACACACACACACAGACAGCCACAAGAGCTCCTCTACACATGCACAACACACACAAATTAAGAAAAAGGTAAACAAAGAGGTCATTGACATGAAGTGGGGTCGTCCCCATATGAGGACTGAAACTGACGATACTACCTGGGGATTAATAAGAGTGATAGTTCTGGAAAACCCAGGACATTTGAGAGTGGCTTTCCCCTCATTGCTAAGTTATAGGTCTATGTGAGTCAAAAGTCACACAGGAACTCAGCACCAGCTTCTCCTTCCTGCCCTTCTTATGGTGTTTCCCAGAGCCTCCAGTCTTCAAAGGTGATTACCCATCTAACTGGATTGAACCACTTGGTGGTAACGCAATCCTAAACTGCGAGGTGAGAGGAGACCCCGCCCCAACTATCCAGTGGAGCCGGAAGGGTGCGGACATAGAAATTAGCCACAGGATCCGACAACTGGGTAATGGTTCCTTGGCCATCTATGGTACCGTGGTAAGTTTCACTGGAGATGTTGACGCTATCTGCATTGCTGTGTCTTTGTCAATCAATACCCTTTGTAGATGGGAAAACTTTCTCTTCTGCAGGCCTCTGCACATCATGAAGTCTCAGCTAGTGTATTCCTCCTTTTAATTTGTTCATTAAAATTAAATATTTAAATGTATGTTCTAACTGATATAAGTAAGCCTAAAATGTACCCAATAATTAGTATAGCATGACGTGTTTCAATCTGTGTACACTGTGGGATGTTTTAATCAAATTAAACATTTATCAAATGTTATGATGGAGACCTTCAAACCCCTTTCTTTTAGCTTTCTGTTTTTATCTGCATTTACCTTACTGTGCAACAAAACACCAGAATCTTCCACGTTTACTAACCATAGCCAAGTAACCCATTGATGATGGTTTTGCCATGGTTCCCTCCTCCTCCCCACTCCCCCAGCCTCTGGTGATCACCAGTTGCCTCTTGACTTTTTATATTTCCTCTGTGAGTGTGATCACACGGGACTTAGTTTTCTGTGCCTGATGTGTGTCGCTTATCATAATGATTTCCAGTTCCATCGGTCTTGTCACAAATGACAGGATTCCAGACTTCATTACGGCTGAACCGTGTTCTGTTGTACGTGTAACATTATTTCATCCAGTAACTAAATTCTTTTGAAACAATAATATAATGTGAGACTGTTGTTCTTTCAAATAAGTATGGGCAATAAGATAATTTAGTTGCTTTTTCCCCAATCACTGATCTATTATTTAATGTTAGGAGATAAACTTCTCAAATCTATTTTAGAACAAGAAGATCAAAAATTTATAAACGTGGTTTATAGGTAAATTATAGAATAAATTTCATCAGGAAACTAATAAATATACAAGGCTTTGCTGGTGCTTTGTTATTCAGGAAAAGAGTATAAAGAGCGATTCATCTAAATATTTCTTAACTCGAGTACAAACAGTTCATTTACTCACACCTGGTGAGCTCTCTTAGCTGCTTTCATTCTTAACTAAAAGAACAATTAAAATACACCATTACCTAATCCAGTGGGCCTTTCCCAGGCTTTATTTTCCTTATTTTTAAATGTTAGCTGTTATTGGTTGATACTTAAGTTTTGAGATTTTTTTTTTCATCTTAATTGACGTCATATTAAGTCTCAATTTTCTTCATTGGTGTCTTTTCTTTCCTCCTACACAACTATTACTGTTTCTCAAACTTTGGGAACTCTTTGAATACCATTGCTAATGTTCTTGCAAAGTCTTTTAATTATACAACTCCATGGTCCTAAATATGTAGCCTCGGCCCTAAGACCTCCAAGTCCTATTTCTAGCTGCCTACTAGAAACCTCCATATGTATAATATATTGAAACTTCACACTAAGCACATATATGGTACTATAAATAAGTAAAATCATGTAGTATATATTTTCTGTATCATATATGCATAAATTTATGGAAGTCTGTAATTTATTATGATGAGTAAATTCATTTTTCACTTTCCTTAATTTCAAACTCCCTAGGAACCCAGCTTGATACATTTCCAAAACCTCCAGCTAGAAGGAACTAAGTATTGGTTCATTTGTACTGGCTGGTTTAAGATGGACTTTATGGACTTTAAGATGGCCATAATCATAGCAGCTATACTTTTCCTTTCATAATTTTAAAGAGGTGGTTATAAAATGGTGCTATTTTTACTTTGATTTCCTGGGACTCACTATCATATGAAAAAAATTAATTTTGGAATTTCCTTTTTGTTCCCCCATTCCTCCTCTTCTCATTTTTCAACCTTAGACATAGGTGAGGTTTTCTATTTCCATTAAAATGCTTTCCCGAAACTGAAATTCCACATGAGCTACTGCACTAAAAAAGCGATGAGCCCTGCAGACCCCTGTTCTCATAAGCACACTTGTTTCCATAGAATGAAGACGCCGGGGACTACACGTGCGTAGCCGCCAATGAGGCCGGGGTGGTGGAGCGCAGCATGAGCCTGACTCTGCAAAGTAAGCTGTTGCGCCCGTCCGTCGTCCGTCCGTCTCCCGCAAACACAACAGCGGGAATGTTGCCTAATGGAGAAGGGCCATTTCCTTTAAACCCGTAACATGTTCCTTGAGCAGGAACTTTCACAGTGTGTCTAGTTTCCTTTTCTGATGAGAATGGAGCAGTGGTCGGGAGCCATTATACCAATATACTTCTGTAGACTCCTTTTCTGCTTCTGGCTGACACCCACAGTTGGTAATACAGTCACAGTGTCCTGGTGTCAAACCTTCGACAACAGGGAGTACTCTCTGTGGTTCACTACACTCTTGCCTCGTGCGTACAAAGAGATCATTTTGCATGCTTTTAAAATATGTACTAAATACATTGTGGGAGAAATAAATCTATCCTCAATAAAAGGAAACATGTGTATTAAAAATAAAGAGTAATTTAAAGGAGCTCAAGAGGGCTTCCAGGCAGATTGGCAGCCGTCTTCCATGAAATAGCTGTGTATTCTGAGTGGGATTCTTTATTCTTCGTGGAGTCCCTCAGGGAATGCCATCGGCCATCAGAGCTTCCAAAATTAGAGAAATATGACAGGTTCTGCTGACCCAGGTCAAGAAAAACGTCATCAGATCTGCTAACATACAAATCCTGACTGGATCCTTTCAACAACTAACATAAAAAGGCCAAAAATATTATTGACATTAAGATCAAAGCACAGAGCAGTGTTTTCATTCAGATAAAATGTTTACATTTGATTGATGATTCCGTAAATGATGTGCTTTATTTGACCATGAAATATGTATACATGGAATTTTATATTTATTTTACCTTTTAGCTTCATAGACATCAAATTAAGATTCTAAGTTGAACGACATAGTTCTCTTGGCCCTGGTATCATGAGCGGACAAGCTTATTTAGTAACTTTATTGGCATTTAGTGTGAATGATAAACCCGAAGTACTTGCTTTATTTGGCATTAGTTTGCAAGTACATGATGTTATCTAAATGTGAGGAAGTCAATGAAAGCAGAGGCTGTTTCTCTATAGATGTGAACATTGGTTGAAAGGTGAATTAGTGGTATGGCTCTACATGGTACACATGGTTCTTTACGGTAGATATAGAAGAGCAAGGTGCTGTGGGACAGTTGTGAAGACAGCAGAGCTAAGGTGAGAAGGTGACTTTTCTCAAAGGTGTGTCAGTAATGCCTTATAAAACACTAGCATATAAGTGTTTCCTTCCATTTTTGCTTTAACTTTCCCAGGAGGCACACTTCTCTATATATAATAGGCCGCCCCTGTGCAGAAGGATCTAATGCTTTTTCTCCTGTCGCTGAGTGAGTCCACCCCTCCCAGTTCAACCTCACTATCACTGTGTGATCGTCCCACGGTTTGTAGCAGGAATCTTAAAGAGTCTTATTAATGAAATCAAAACTGAGCCAAGTATTGGGGTGAACACAGGAAGATCAGAGAGACAGAACAAGCCACAGCTAACCTCACCTGGCCAACTTCTCAGCTGGTCTTATTTCCTCAGACAGGAAGCCTCTGTGTCCTCATATCTGAATGGCTCTAAGCTGAACTGTGCTGCTCGAAACCTAAAAGCTTAACCAGTCAAAATGCTTCTAGTTCCTGGTTTCCACACCTTATATACCTTTCTGCTTTCTACCACCACTCCCTGGGATTAAAGGCTCACTTTCTGGGATTAAAGGCATGAGTCACCATGCTTGGCTATATCCTTGAACACATGGATTTCTGCCTTTGGAATGCTAGAATTAAAGGCGTGTGCTACCACTGCCTATCCTCTATGTTTAATATTGTGGCTGCTCTGTCTCTGACCCCAGATAAGTTTATTAGGGTGCACAATATGTTGGGGAACACAGTACCACCACACACAATTCTCCTTTTCCACAATGTCCTTGCTGGCCTCTGCTCACTCATTCAACTGAAAAGGTGTCTGAGATTCTTGAGGGGAAAGGAAAGCATAGGTTTTAGCAAGCACTGAAAAACATTGTGAACTACCACCCCATTACCTGAGCCAAGCATCCTTTATAGTCATGAAAATGCCAAGTCTAACTCCATGCTGTGTCTCTCACCAAATGGAGGTATCTTCTCCCTGCTGAAGGGCCCAGCCTCCATTTTGAAAATGTACTTCAAGATCTTCCTCCCTAAGGAAGCCTCTCCTGAGTTAAGTTTACAGGCATGTAGAATGATACAGAGAGAAGTATCCTGCCAGCAGCTGCATCTGATTCCTTTTTTTTTCTGTGAGTGTATGTTAAACTTTATTAGATACTGCCCAACATTACCTCCAAGTGCTTGTCAGAATTTACAGTCTCATAGGAATGTAAGCCACGCTCTCACTAAACTAGTTGAATGCCTCTGCCAGTTTACTCATTGGCCTTCTCTTTCTCTGACAGTCAATCAAGTTAGGTCTGTGCATGTACTCTTTGGCCAGACATATAAATATCTTCATAAAGTACCTGTTTTTTCTTTTTAACACATCTGGTCCTTTCCAGGAACTTCACTTGGGTTTGCTGTTCCTGTCCAGATGCTGACAGAAGCCTCTCCCTTCTCCCAAAACTCCTTCCTTTCATTGCTAGGATTCCTGTTTCTTCTCTATTGATTGCCCCGGTGGTCAGTTCTATGTATCACTTATAAACCAGCCTTCTGCCCACCTCTTTGTACCCTTGTTTGCATGTCACATCATCTCTTTACCATGTCACTTTCTCTTTTGAAGCCATCTCATCCAATTAGGAAAAACAGATCCACATTCCTTGCCAATATCTCGATTTTGAGATTTCTGTGTGGATGTGTCTGAATCTGCCTGCCATCTAGGCCTGTTTATGTGGGTGTCTCATAGATACCTCAAGGTCAATGTCATAAAAGAAAATACAAATCACCACCCACTCCCCACTGCCTCCCATCAGATCTCTTCTTTCATTTGTGTGTTATTGACTTATCTAAGCACAAACCTCATTGCCCAACTCAAAACCCCACAATCATCATTTCTTCTCTTTAGTTCCTACTACTCAATATCAAAGCCCTATCATTCTTTTCAGAATAAAGTCATCACATTTTAATAAGATAAAATGTTTATATAACCCCTTAACAACTGAGAGTCACTGTCTACTTTCCTCACAGGTCCTCCCATTATTGCTCTTGAGCCAGTGGAGACTGTTGTGGATGCTGGTGGCAGAGTCATATTGGACTGTCAAGCAACTGGTGAACCCCAGCCAACCATCACGTGGTCCCGCCAAGGGCACCCCATCCCCTGGGATAACCGACTCACCATGCTTTCCAATAGCTCCTTATTCATCGCTGCTGCTCGCAAGGAAGATACCTCTGAATATGAGTGTGTTGCCCGAAACTTGATGGGCTCTGTCCTTGTCAGAGTGCCTGTCATAGTCCAAGGTAAGTAGGAAGCAGAACCCGAGACAGCTCAGATTCCCAGTCTCCTTCTGGTTTATCAGCTAATACGATTAAAACAACACAGTTTAGAGTCTTCAAAGGCCATGCTAGCCATTCAGAATCCTAAAGTAAAATTTCATTCAAAACTAAGCAAAAATTTTCAGAAAGTGAGGTATATGATATATATACATATGTATATATAAAGGGTAAGCAATATGGAAACTTTTTTATCTTTTATTTTTCCCATAGCCGTGACCACTTGAGTCAGCAGAGGATCTGAGAGGGAATTTTATTGAGTTAACCTCTCACTTCTAGATATTAATTTTACCCTTAGAGCAAAGCTTCCATGGCTGTTCCTCAGCAATCACACGCAGCTCTACAGCCAGCATGCAAACTCAATGAAATGAGACTTCGACGTGTTCACTTGCCAACCCGAGACGACAACACCCCAATGTTTCATTTGCAGTGCATGGTGGCTTTTCGCTGTGGTCCGCCTGGAGGCCCTGCAGCGTCAGCTGTGGAAAAGGCATCCAGAAGAGGAGTCGGCTCTGCAACAACCCACTCCCAGCCAACGGTGGGAGGCTGTGCCAAGGGTCGGACTCAGAAACACGGCACTGTCAAAATAAGTTGTGTCCAGGTATACTTCTGCAGGTGTTTAATAGACTGGAGCGTCTATTCTTTACCTTTGGGCTGCCTCCGGGTTGGTGCTTGCCATTTGAATTTACCTGATGGTGTAATGGTTTTACCTTCCTGTAGTCGACGGTCACTGGTCAGAATGGAGTTTCTGGGAAGAATGCACTAGAAGCTGTGGGCATGGCAACCAAACCAGGACCAGAACTTGCAGTAACCCATCGGCTCAGCATGGCGGGCGGCCATGTGAGGGGCATGCTGTGGAAATCATCATGTGTAACCTTAGGCCTTGCCCAGGTGAGGACCCACCAGCCAAGCTTTTGTATATTAATTCCTGTCCTGGAGTTAAGATCCTCTCTTCCTTCATTGTGAAAAGATGTTATGGCTTCCATCTTTGGGAATCTGCCCACTCTCTGTGTTCTTTTCCTGCTTTACAAAGAACATTGTAAAGACATGACTCTGTTGCGGGAAAATATCTCACTCCACAGAACAGGAAAGTGGTTCCACACTTGGTGTGTTTTTAATCATGCACAAAAACTTAAGTATATACTAACTCACAGATTTGAAAGATGGTGGGGACTTCAGGTGACATCTTATCTAGTCATCCATTTTCAGGTAAGGAAATGAGTTTGGAGGGGTTAAATACTTGCCGGGAAGTGTGCTAACGGAGAGGAGCATGCTTGCATCTTCTCATGTGCTGTCTTACTCATCTGCCTTGCCAAGGAGGTCATGCCAGATGTTTGGTAACCCTGCTGTTGCTGACTTCATATTCCATGCCCCTTTCAGATTCAACTGACAGAATCAAACTCACATAGGCAGAGAATTCTTCTTTCAGGTATACCTGAATGCAAGGATTTGGCCAGTGCTTCTACTGGTATGTTTTCCATCTCTCATCTCTACTATCTTTTCTTTGGCTTCATCCTCCATACAATTCTTCCAGTGTGTGGAAAAAATGGTCACAGGCAATGAGTGGTTCACAGTGGCCTGGTCATCTCAGACCTCAGAGGGAAAAAGTTCCTCTCTCTGAAATTCATTTCGGCTTCTGGGAATTAACTGTGTTTGAGTTTAATTTTGTCACCTGTTTTGTCTGAACGAAATCTAGGAGGTGGGCCCTTTGGTGGCAGCTTGGAGGCCGTGCTCATGTAGGTAGTCAAGGGGTACTGGGCTGAGAGGTCCTTGTTGTGAACCTCTTAGGAAAGACCTGTAGAAGAGAGGAAGGACTAGTCAAGAACATTTCCTTTATTCTAGACTCTTGACAATGTTTATTATGTACTCTGATTTGACGATATCTGAATCTCTAAACACTTGAATGGGTAGAATATGAAATGTTCTATTGAACATAGACAATTAAGTAGGGAGTAAGTTTTAACCTTGATAAGCATATTGAATAAACTCAAAAGAGAGCATTAGTGGAGCAAAACGGAGAGAGAATCATCAAAAAAGATAAAGCTCCCTCAAAAAGAAACAGTCACTGAATTGTGTATTATATCTTGCTATGCACATGAGGAAAAAATTAGAAAACAATGGGAATTTATTAACTAATTCATTAACTAAGGCTGCATAGATGGTAAAAGGGAGTTGAATATTTGAGCCCAGACTGATGCAACATCCAAGTCTATTTGCTTGGATCTGGGATACTTTACTAGAAGTTTGGTTTTATTTCTATTGTATTTCAAAAACAAAGTACTGATCTGGGCATGGTGGTGCATGCCTATAATCTTCCCCCAAAACAAACAAGCAGGCAGACAAACAAAGCCCACTGCCCTGAAGTCTTCAACATGAGTAAAACATCAAGAGTTTGCTTTAGTCTCTAAAGTAAATGGCATTAAAGTAAAGGAAATATAAGTACCTAATTAGAGAGTTTATATTCCATTGTCAGCTTAGGAAATTATATAATGAAAGTGTTTGCAATTTGTAATGAAAGTGTTTATAATGAAGGGTGTTTGTAATTATGTTTAAATAAGTGTCATCTTTTCTCTCCATGTTTGATAACTATTTGTTTACAATTATTTTGCCCACCGTTTTATTGATCTACTATTTTGGGGGGGGCCTTTCCTTAGTTATGCCACAATCCATAAGCCAGTTGAATTTAGCCATTGTTTGGGCCCCTGAGACAGACAATGAGTGAGAGTCATGCCTCTTTTCAACTGAGTGCTTAGTGACGCCACCCTAGTGGGTAGATGCCAGCCATGGAGGCAGTAGGATGTCACAAAACTAGCAGGTGCTACTATTTCCCCTGATAGTATGTATGTGCAGGGATGCTTTACAACCACATAAACATTTTATCATTCTTTCACCCACTAATGTTGGTATCCATGTGATTATTTCCTGCATAAGTTACTCTTATGTGTCTCATAAAACACTGATTTTTTTCTGTTGTGTCTTGTATAGCTGTTATCATTTTATGTTGCAAAGAACATTTTGTTTATTATTTCTTTATTGACTTACATCAATCAAGACTCATTATTCAGTAGTGTAATAACTCAAGTATGTGGTGGTAATCTAATTGTATTGAAATATTGTTTTGATTTGTACTGAAATATTAATTTGATTGTATGTTAATAAATAAAGTTGTCTGGGGGTCAGAGCTATTAGAGCCATAGCAAGAGTGTGGCGGTGGTGGCACACGCCTTT